TGGGTGGTTGTTAATTTGGGGGGGGGGGGGGGGGGGGGAGCGGCGCCAGACCTTATTCTTATACACCAAGCAAAAGCACATACACTCAAACATTGACGGCATGCCTGTTTGGTGTTTGGTCCGCTGGCAGAAAAACGTTTGCCGTCGACATTCTTTCGAAGCCACTCGTTTCTCCCGCTTTACCTCCTCCACGTCAAAAACGTCGTCCAGAACGATGCCCCCTCCTCGAGAGCGAACAAAACGCCTCCGATCGGGGTGCGGAACGCGGCAGCCACACCGGCGGCAGTGCCCATGGCCGCCAAATCCCGCCTGCGAGACCAGGGACGGGAATTGCTCGTGAACGGTATACCGTGATCGGGAACGGTTCGGCAACGAGGTGGGCACGGCGGGTGCAACCGCGGGAGAAGTGGATGTTGTTCGCGGATGACCCAAATTTTCATCGGTGTTACTCTCGAACTAGGAATTTGACTTGGGCTGTCAGTGGTCCCCGTAAATTCGAAAATGCGTGTGTGCATGGTACGGAAAACTTTCTGGCCGGATCGTGCCTGAGAGAGAGAGCGAGAGGATGGATTCTCGCGCTAGCCACAAAGAAAACCCAGCTTGCTCTTCCTATCAGCTGAACAATTGTCGTAACACTGATGGCACGTTGTTGTAATTTGCTGTTTACAAGTCTATTGAGGCCAAAAACGAACGCCATGTCCACGGTGAACGGCCCGGGGCCCAATTGCCGGATCAAATAGACGCAGGAAGCCTCGAGGAAAATGTCTTGCGTTCTCGAGCACTGCTTTCGGGAAGGAGGCGACCAAAACTGCGTATGATCAAGAAGAGGCAGTTGCGTCTTTGTTTTTCGGTGTTGTACTCTTGCCGAGACGAGAGTTAGTCGCGGTGTGACAGTTTGTCGACAATAACGGGAAGGGTGTTGTAGTCCAGCAACCAGTCACCTCGAATGTGAGCGTCCTACACCACGCTGTTTCTGTTGGCAAGGGCACACATCACGATCTCGAGAGGAAACTAGCACGATCACACCCTATCCTCCGCGCGGAGCTACAGAGCGTTTTCCGGCAAAATAGGCACCTGTCTCGATCGTTGCGGAACTCCGCTACGCCCGGGATCCCAGGGATGTTGGCGATACCCCCCCCGATTGCCGCTCCGGCGTGAATCATGGGGCCTTCCTTGCCGATCGGTAGCCCCGAGGCCACTCCGAGGATAACGCCAAATACTTTCGTAACCAGAGTACTCGGAGCGAGGACCTGGAGTTGTGGCCAAGAGGGGGGGGGTGTCATGTGAGGTGCTTTTTTTCGAAGGCGACACGCGTACGTGGTCAGACAAAAGCACGTCCAAGAAAACCCCATCAATCGTCGCCGTGCCCATGAATAATTTTCGAATACAGAGCCGAAGATTTGCCGTCGGTAACGCTGCTGCTATTTTTTTTTTTCGCTGGGCTTCGAAAATCAATCGGACACCATCACCTTGGGCGATAGTGCTTCACGTCGGTGCTTTCGCTGCTATTTCTGTCTAGAATTTTTCACACGTTGTTGTCTTTACAGTAAATAGACCCGCTTGTACTCTTCACGCCAGTCGTAGCAACGAACGAAGTCACAGAGCTTCACTCGGCACCACTTGTGCCCTACTCTCGTTCAAATACTTGGGCGGTCTGTGACACGGGCCGCCGCTTGTAGCATGGTGTTGACAAGACAACATAAAACCGTAGCTGCTCCTACGTTAGCTCCTGGCAACTAGAAACTACCATGCAACAATGATCGCGAAAGCGCACCTCATACAGTGGAAAAAGCGTCATGCTTGCGATTTCTTTTTCTTCACCTGGGGAATGCTGACCCCATTCAGCAAGCACTTGGTCTCCGGTATTCCCGAACCATTCGACCACGGCTGATACCACACCATGCCGAAAGCCCCCACCGTGAGAAGGCTGTTGATGAACCACAGCCACGCGAACGCTGTCCCATAGCGCGTGAAGTCTAGTGGGAAGGGTTGGCACGGAGGGCACGGGGGAGCACATGGAGACAAGGGCTTTCTCGAGTCACTTGCTGCTGTTGTAACGCGGCGCTACACGAGGTGGACAGGATATGAGGTTGGGAAACACGCTGTCCCCCCCCCGCAATTCTACCGCGGTAGCGAAACTTGTCCTATTTTGCCGGCGAAAGCCAAGTCTTGCCCACCCGACGATCCGGAATCACACACAGAGGCTGTGTTTCCGGGTGACGGTGAACGGACGAGGGCAAAACCCACCGGATTCGCCCTCGTGCTCTTCAATGATGTGGGCGATGAAATGAAGCTTGGCGTGCACGATCCACTCGGTGAAGAACGTCACGAAGCAGCCAGTTAACCCCACCGCGATACCCAACGCGAGGGTCAGCGAACGCCCGACGAGCTTTCGGTGGCGTTTCGATCCTTTCGTCCCGCCGCGGTTGTTATTTGCTGCATCTTGTTTGTGTGTATGCCACACCTGGGGAGTGTTGGCAAATATGGTCAGAAATTTTGACAACGACGCGGAAGGCAAATGTCGCGCGCGAATTTATCTTCGGGTTGGCACAAACGAGGAAAGGGTGAACACACAGTGTTGAGAAACCCAACCCTGCCAGCATTGCGTCCTCTCTTTGGCCATCGTGAATATATTACTGGCAGATGATATGCGGAAGAAAGTCTTCCTACGGGGGAAACAAACCAAAATAATCTGTGTGCCAGACATGAAGAACGGTTCTCTGGGTGTCAACAACCACCGGCTACACCCATGCGATCGCGCCTTGTTCGCCTCATAACTCGTGATCCGAACCCGGTCACCCGAACTCTGTCTTCTGCGCTGGCGCTGGTACAACATTATTTTGGGTGTAGGCAGAAGTTGAAAACTTTTCGCACCTTGCTGTCGTAGAGCTCGTAGTCTGCAGCTTCAAAAGTCTTGTGAGCTAGCCTTCGCCGCCGCCGGGCCGTAGCCCAGATGCTTTGAACTTGCTGGTTCGTTGGGAGACACAACAGAAGTACGATGAGCGGTAAAAGGCGGAGAAGATTTGATAGAAACGATGACAAGGACGTTGGTTCTAACGCAGGTTATCTGTAGGAACTGCAACGCTCTCCTTCTTTGCACATGGTCGCGATTTGAGTGTAGAAGACTCGTGTCATTATTCGTGTCGATATGAGGGACGGGGGCCCATCCTCTCATCCGGGGAATGTTACTACTCACTTTACTAAATAACAGACAGCATTAAATAACAACGGCAAAGCGTGAACGCATAGATTAGTGTGAACGTCCCGGAATTGACTACCGTACCTCGGCGTCCTGCTGGTCGTCCTTCTCTACGACGTGCATCAGCCAGTCGCGAAGAACGGTGTTATATTTGTCTCGCCCGCGTGTTGAGTCGCCATTTATCAGAGTCGTCCTGTCCTCAAGACCGATGGCATTGATGTCCCTGCCATTCACCACCACGACGCCGCTCTTGCTGCGGTCGCACCTAGCATGGGGTACACTGTCTTCACTGTTGTTCCCGTCACCGCCCTTTCCCTCATTGGAGGAGTATATTATGGTGCTGTTCGCCCGCTCAAAGAGGCTCAGTCGCCTGTGCTGTCCAAGCGGCGTCGGGTCTGCGTCTGACGGTTGAGCTGCTTCACGCATGACGAGAACTTCACGGTCCACTGCCAAGGGTGCACTATTCGTGGCCGCCCGCTCTGTGGAGCCACCTGGTAACTCGAGTTCATGTCTGCTGCTCCTCGGTTGCAATTTCTCTCCTCTTGGCGCCGCCGCTGCATCTGTGTCATGCTGTGGGATCGACGCCGGGTTGGTCGCCTTGTTCAATACTATCAGCGGATTCACGCCGATGAGAAGCGGGGGTTCAAGACCTCCATCATTGCTTGCCACCGACGAGTACCCACTGCTTAGAACTTCATGGATCGAGTTTTGGCTACTCGCGTGATCGGATAAGCCGGCCCCGACCACGTGCGTTGTTGGCAGAACCGGAGCACTTAGGGTTGACAGGTCGCTATTGTTGCTGGTCTGCCCTCCCGTCAATGGTGCGCCTTCGGCTTCATGATTCCGTCGCATTTCTCCGGCTTCTACCGGTGGCCGACTGCTGTTGCTGCCGGTGGAGACATCGTCCTTTTTCGACTCCATGTAAACGACGCGTGAGCATATGCAGAGGTCGTATCGCCGATGAACGAAAGTTCGGGCTCTGTCGCCTCGCCGATTCTTCGTGCTCCGCTCGACCAAAAAGTTTTGGCACCGCAAGGTACACTGTACCGCTCCCCTTGTACTCCAGCTGCCACTTTGTAAAACATAAGCCCCCTCTCTTTGAGCTCGGGGCTCACCAGGAGCTCATTTGCAATACACGAGACTGGGCGAAACGCCGGTGCTTTCGAGAGTGCTGCGGACGCGTCGACCCTGCGACTCGCCGACGACAACTGAACGTGATTGTTGGTGATCCACCGACACCGACGGTATCACGTCGGTGTAATGCGATAATTCTTTGGGCCGTGTGGTAAGGACCTTGATGCCGCTTGGTACTGCTGTAGCGCGCGTAAGCGCGTTCCTCGTCGCCACACACCTCGAGCGAGTGCACCTTATGCCACTGCTGCTGTTTTCTCCCCATTGTTCTCGTTTTCAAAATTATTTGACGGTTTTTTCCCCTTCTTGCCATGCATGAAACCCGGGCAGCTACATGCTACCTACCGCAGCCTTACGGCTATTTGCGGCGCCCCTATCATGACGCCCCTTTCGCTGCCGGCGGTGCGAGGCAGGCGGGACAGGACCCTTCTCTCCTCGCAGGCCTGCTCTTGCGCTGTTCCTGCCCGCATTCATTTGCACCATTCACGTTGCGGCACATCTGTAGACCACGACTACAAGCATGATGGGCTCGAAGACTTCAACAAGTGGTTGCATGACGAGGGCCGCTCTTTTTCTTTCCGCATCATGCGCCCTCCTACTTCGACCTGCAACACCCTTCATTCGGCTGGCACCCCCAGGTCTGTTTTGCGCTGAGACAAAGCGTGATGTGTGCTGAGGTAGTGTGTATGACCGTCAGCATACACACTCCGTGGTGGTCCTCATGTCAGCTCGAAACCAACATGAACACATGAACCATGACCGTTGAGTATGCAGCAGGATCAAGACAAACGAGCCCGTCCCCCGTACCCCAGCGATTACTCATCAAAATAGTACAAGTTTGACTAGCGACGAATGCCCTTAACGCCATCCGCTGGCTTGTTGTTGCCGGTCATGTCAGGTATGAAGTATAAAGACATTTGGTGATGTGGGTATTGCCAGGATCAACCAACCACGCCACAGTACAAAGTGAGGGGTGAGGGAGAAAATGAGCATTTTTCATGGGAAAGAGCCAGCGCAACGTGTTAGATGGACCAACGTAACAACGACTCTCCATCACCATGCAGTTCATGATACAGGAACGTCTTACCTCTCTCTATTGTTCAAGGGGTGCGTTTCCTTGCCCTACTCCGCTCTTTTGCTATCCATCATCTATGTATTCAAAGCTTGGTGTGGTATGGTATGAGGACGTTTTGCCCGCCGCACGCCGAAAGAGTTTTGGGCTTCCCGCTGTGGTACAATACTGTAATTAAGTACACGAACACCGGTACTCCGGGCGCAGTGGGATGGGATGGGACGGAAAAGCGAGACGCCATTTCATTGACGGGATGGGATGGAGCCAGCGCCTTTCTCGATGAGGATAGACAATAGATGATAAAAAGACAAGAAACAGACAGGAAATGAGCGAGAGTTGTGCTTTCTCGTTGCTGTGGGATACACCCCGCCACCACTCACTGACCAATGCGCCGACTCATCGAACTTTTGGCACAAGTACGTCCTGATGTAGCGAGAGGTGGAGGACAACTACGGGCGTTTACTCGCGGAACAACCTATCGGGTTGTGATTCCACATTTTCTTCGCCGTTCTTGCACGGTGTGCGTGTGTAGGCGTACAATTGTACGTTTCGAGTGTATATGGCCACTTGGTGTTATATAGGCACGCCGCAGGACTGGGCGGGGTAATTGGGCAGAGAGTGGAATGTGAAGAGGGCGCAATGGAAACGGTTCAACTTTGGGCGGGATGGGAGAAGGTGGGAACAAAAGAGAGCGTCGCGGCAGGGCCGGGGGTGGCGGCGGGACGAAAAAAACACCACGGAAGCACCACACCATGCCATACCACAACGCAGAACGGGGACATCCCAACCCGTCGCTTTTGGGCGCGTATCCCTTATGCATTACCGTATGTACGGCCAGAGAGAATTCCTGCGGTGCGTCCGTCCGTTCAGCAGTTTCTTCGCGCAGGTCTACGTCGGGACGGGATGCTGAATATCACACCTCACCGAGAATCGACCGTTCAGTCTCGAAACATTTCAACACGAGTGTTTGAGGACCGTTAAAAGGGTAGTGGACAGGCTCCGTGTTCTTGTCGATTACCGGGGACCATGTAGCGACAATCCACATACGTTGTGCTTCGCCTCAATTGGCGGACTAAACGGCCTTGTCTTTGGGCGCCCAACTTTGTCCTGTGGTTTCACAGCAGGAGCTGCTGACCCTGCCGGCGCCGCGCATCGCCAACGTCACGTACGTCCTGTGTCTGCGCGCCCGCACCATGCGCGGGTGAGTACAACAGTGCCTACCGTCGTACGTCACCGAAAGATAGATATGGTTCACCCGGGGGGTAACTTGCTGCAGCAGTGCATACGCCGGCACCGGTGGGACCGGGACCTACCCAGAGCAGATCGGAAGCCCGCGCACGAGGTCTCGGGCGGCGCGGGGGGGGGGGGCGTACTCTTATGTTTTGCATATCTTAACGGTTAAACCATTGACCACCCGTCCTCCAAAGGACGGGGCGTTGTTCCCACAGGACCGATTACTGACGGCCAATCGTTCCTTCCTACTTTGCCAAAGGGGGCTCAAAAATGTCTTCCCTAGTCTGTCTATCCTAACGATATCCCTTCCCGCCTTTTCAAACCACTTCCTACTCCCCAGTACAGCTACCGTCCTCTCCTCTCTATTCCATGCCTCAAACATCTCCCTGCACCTCCCTTATATTTTTCCCAGCTCAGTCATGTACACTTCTCTCTCCTTATTGTACAGCCGACATTCCGCGACTACATGGGGGGGGGGGCATGGCGATACGGCGTGCAACAGACAGCCCGCACAAACCTATTTTTTTGGAGTCCACTGGGTCGATCCTACATCCGGCTGTGCCATCGCCGTCAAGGAAGTTGTATCACCTCTGTAAACTCCACCTTTTGGACCCTGCGCTCCCCCCCTGGTCCAGTCCGCAGCACCCGTCGACATCCCATGTTCACGTCTCCCGCCACCTGCTGCGCAGGTGCTCGTCAACATGATGGCGGAGGTTGACGCAGACGTCCCGGGCATCGCGGACTCACGCTTGGCGGGGTGGAGGGTGGGGTCGAAACAAGCAGCTACTACTGCAACAGAGGACACAGCAGCAGTGGACAGCGATGCAGACTCGGAGGGAGGCGCGGGCGAGAGCGGAGAGCCCGGGTGCGGGGATGTGGTCGAGGTACGTACGTTGTGCTCTCTCGCCCGCCGAGTTGGTACGGATGGTGCGGCAACCCAGCCCCTTGAGCTGAGACAGAACCAATCGCTCGGTACCATTGCCGCCGAGAGAGAACCAATCTCTCGGCATGTGCCAACAGCGCATCTTCGCGTCTCCTACCAAAAACGCAACAACAAACTCGATTGCTGTTCCTGACTTGGTGGCATCTGACAAGTGTCGAACGCATGAGGCATCAGTTGTGGGCACCGAAAGGTTCGCTGAGGACTATGTGTGTTGTGGGGTATGCGATGTTCGGGCAGCGTACTAAGTAAGGTAGCCACGAGAGGATGGTGGAGCTCATCGCTCAGATTCGAGGAAGCTGAGCCGACGAAAAAAGAGAAAGTAAACGAATTGGACGACAGCTGCTGCAAATCGAGACAAACCTGATCAATGCGAGGCCGCAAGGGGGAGGGGGGGGGGGGTATTCATCATCGAAAAAACAATTTCCCCGACCAGGACACCTCCCAATCCTTAACGTGTGAGATGGGATCTACAAGTACATATCACCCACCGAAAAAAACGAAATGGTATTCTTTATCTTGTTGAAAACATCTGTGAAGGTGAACTATCGAGTATCTGTTTTCCAGGTGGCGTCATGAGTGTTTTCGAAGAACCTGTGCTCTGCCCTAGACAACTGTCAGTACCGCCCCATGCCTTCCAGGGACCTATTCTGTCTATTGTTCCTTTTTTGGAACGAACCAGGCAAACATGCCTCCTCTTCCACGCGGGCTTTTGAGGTGTCGGGGTGGCATGCACGCGTTCCCCTTTTCCCACAGCAGCTGCAGCGTTCTTGCAGAAACGTTCGCAACAAGAGTACTATCCCCTTTTCCTTTTGGATGAGCCTCTCTCCCAGCCCCTGCTGACGGATGTGTGCCCGAACCTGGGCGTTGAAGCCCGCTGACTGAGCCTCTTTCTCGGCCCCTGCTGACGGATGTGTGCCCGAACCTGGGCGTTGAAGCCCATTGGCTGAGCCTCCCTCGCTCTCATGGACATGAGCACGAACCTGGTCGTCGACATACCGCACTTACAGCACTTCCCATCTACTGTGCGCACCAACAACAGTACCCACTGACAGATTTGGTGAAGAACGAGTCAACCGACGGAAGGGAGAAGGGCGTGGCGGTCATCGTCAGCATCAACAAGCTGCGCAACGACGCCTGGAAACTGCCCGAGGACATTCTCGACAAAGCCGAGCTTCAGGTGTGTGTGTGTGTGTGTGGGTGTGTTTCCGTTCTATTTATTTTGGCGACAGTCCTCCCATTTTTCGTGGTGAGACATATATTACACGTGTGATTCAGTGTATGTAGATTACTACACTTTTCCGTGTATTTTGTCGTACAACTACAACGACCCAGGGTCACACAGGTGCCGGATTGTTTTCCTCTTCCACATTGTGGCATGCCCCGGTCGGTGTCGCTTCTGGTTGATAAGCTGCTGGACGTCCAAGTGCTGTAGCGTTTGGTGTGTGTGTGGGGGGTAAGTTTTGTCTGCGAGGAGGCCTGCTTGTGTTCGCTCATGCGCAACAACCGCTGAAGAAATTTTTTGTTGGGTTTTGTCGTCAGTCGCCCACGTGTGTGTGTGTGGCGACGTTTTTCGTGCGGCATAGACTGGTGTCCTGTTGTACACCAGCCGTGGTGGTGAGGCATGACACTGCTGCCGCCTTTCAGCGGATAAGCGAGTGCATGGTACGTTTTCCGGACACCGAAGTGCACGCTGCTTTTTTCGTCCAAGGCGCTCTTTGCTGCTTACGCTCCGCAAAATCGATTTTCATGGCTTCTGTTCAGCTGACAAACGGTTCAGCGGACAAAATCTGTGTATCCGTTGTCTCTGCATTCAAGAATACCAAACGCTGACCTTTCACCTACTGCATGTAAACTAGAAACCGTCGACGGTACCTGGCGGGTTTCGGTTTATGACGTACTGTTTCGGGCCCATGTCTACCGATCCATGTCCATGGCAGGTTCTGTGCCCCGATCTTGACAGCGAGGAGGAGGGAGTGTGGATGGCCGATGAGCTAGAAACATGTGCCTTCGCCAAGCTCGGAGAGATGAAAGTGGCAAGTGTCCTTTGCAATATACAAGTAGAGCATACCACATACAGTGGCGGCTACGGTTTACGAGAGACTACGTAAGAGAAAGTACCGATTTAAGAGAGTCAAACTGGCTTGTCACGACCATGAGAAATGCATACATTTCACAGTACGGTTTAAGAGAAAACCGGATTTACGAGAGAAATACTGGCTTGTCACGACCCTCTCTTAAACCGTAGCCGCCACTGTACTGTAGTGCATCTACCACCCGCCGGTGTAGGGTAGCAGCTCGGACGAGAGCAGCGCAAGTATTGCTGGCAGGGAGGGCCTGTCCTCGTTTCCTTTGACACGCCTACTTCGATCGGCAGCATACGTATATTGACGAAAGGCAGGATGATAGTTGCACAACCCGTTTTAGGACGAGCCAGTCTTCTTAGTTATACGACACATCCTCCCCTCATCATCTTGGGCGGCGTGGTCGTGATTATTGAATCTACGAGCGTAAGCGGGGTTTTCTACGGTCGTGGGTACGGGTAGGCTTCGGGGAACAAATGCGGCTGACCCGGTCTTGAAGGGGATTGGCTCTGTTGTCACCGGACATCAAGCACGGCCTGCGGCCTGCGAACTCATAGTCTACACCTGGTGTTCATCACGAGTCACGTCGCCGTTCAGAGATGAATGGGTTGTGTGCCGTTTGGTGCCAGCATTCGAGACCCCACTGCTGTGAATAGGCTGCGATTCAAGGGTCGAAAGGTCGGCTTCCTGGTACTTGCGGTGTGCCCGTGCTAAGCCTCGCATGTACGCACTTGGTTTTCGGTGCGGTAGCTGTTCTTCTCTTTCTATCATTTTGTTTTCTTTTTCCCGAGTGGTTTGTACTCTATTCTTGTTTCGTTTCCCGTGGCGTCGTATGTGCCGGGTTTTGCGACCACGGGCTCCCCATCTCTGTGGACTATATAGAGCTAATGTGAGAGAAACAACAACAAAAACAAAACTTGGTGCTCCCGCTCTCCCGCGTTCGCTCTTAACAATAATCCAGCTCAAGTCATCCTTCAACGGTGCAATGGACAAGTGGAAGCGGTGGACGATTTCCGACGAACTCAGCGAGGGCTGTGGCGCGAGGGACGCTGAGTGGGAGTACGACATGCTCTAAATAGTCTAGCGCCGCTAAACGCGCAGCAGCACCACTTTGCACTAAACGTAGGATTGTAGGTGCGTTTTTGGGGCCGAGGCATACGATTCATTGTTACCTGAGTTTTCCAGTATTCATGATGTGCACGGCAGAAGGTATTCTACGACTGCAAGCAGTGGATTGTTGTGGCTTTAGACCAACAATGAAGGCGCCAAGCAGGTACCCGTGGGCTAAACGTCCCCGCAAGGTTGCCCATATCAAGGGGAATTCGTTGATGTTGCTTCAGGAGCTTTTGGGAAGAAAGAGTTGTGTCGTAGAACTGTTTTCATTGTGTTTTTTTTTCATGGAAGCCGAAAATCAATCCCCTAGACAGGACTGAGAAAAACGGTCGCACCCGAGGTCATGTCATGAGCAGGTTGGGGGACCGCCTCTTGTCGAGAGATCTACCCACAAGAGGCGAGAGAAGTTTCCGTTGGCCGCATTTAGAAGGGAAATTGAAGCCCCTTTTCAAATACTCAGTACTTACCCGATGGAGCATGCTTGCCGCCCAGCACAAAGGTAGTGTTCGGCTCCCTGCTGGCTTGCTCCAATTGATGCTTCAACGATAGACGGTCGGTATAGTGTAAGTACAGTAGTGATGCCGCACTGAAGTCGCATCACAACAGGGTAAAGGGGGTTTATAACGGAACGAGCAGCTTGTGTGTGACATGCACGGGACCATTGAACAGTGGGTTGTCAGCTTATAGCAGTACATGCGTGGCTGAAAAATAGCTCAGTTGGACACACCAAAATTGTACACACATTTTCCAGAAAACTTGCCACCACAACCCCCCCCCCCCCCCCTTCGTAGCATGCTATATTTACACAAAGAACAAGTAGAAACACGACGAATGAATGATATCAGAACACCCGACTATACCTTCGCCTAGAGTGCGCAGAACATGAACAATTCCTGTAAAAAACTGTAGCATAGTTTTCAGGCCAAGAAGCCCAATACTTGCTTCTGTCCAAAGAGCAGCGGTAACACTGCTGTAAGCCCAATAATCAACTGCAGTTACGCGACGCCCGAAGAACGAAGCAAATAAAAA